CCCCTTAGGTCCACATCATGAGTTACACCCAACTCCAAGTGCTTGGCTAGAGCCACTTCCAAAGCGTCTTCGCCATCTAATTCGAAAATTTCCTGCACAAAAGGCTCAATAACACTCAAAGCAAAGACCGAGTTAGATTCTTTTGGGTAATTCATCGCCTCAAAAATATTGAAATTCACAGTTTCACCATCAAATTCCATTGACAAAGTACCCTCATTCACATCTATCTTAGTCCTGGCAGTGCTAAGAAATGGTCTACCTAACAAGATAGGTGATGGGCTTAATGATTTCTCATCTCCCATGTCCAAGATATAAAAATCTGCAGGAAAAACCAATTCATTTACCTGTACCAAGACATCCTCAACTAGCCCCTCTGGATATGCATTTGTACGATCAGCTAGTTGGATTATGATGGCTGTTTCTTTAAGTGGCCCAAGATTTAGAGAAGCAAAAATAGTCTTGGGCATCACATTGATTGACGCCCCTAAATCTAACATTGCTTTCCTAATCGGTGTATTCCCTATCTTACAGGGGATCGTGAACATACCTGGATCTCCACACTTGGGTGGAAGCTTCCTTTGGAGCATTGCTGACACATTTTCTCCCACCGCTACTCTTTCGTCCCCTCTCAGTTTCCTCTTATGGGTACATAGATCCTTGAGAAATTTCGCGTACTTCGGTACCTGTTTAATTGCCTCCAACAAGGGGATGTTGATCTCCACTTTTTTGAACACCTCCAAAAGCTCTTTTTCCTTCTCTACCTTTTTTGTCTTCTCCAGCCTACAAGGAAAAGGAGGTAAGTTAGATTTAATAGTGGGCGGAGAAGTGAAAGTTACCTCAGGATCCTTGCGAATACGCCCTTCCTCTTCAATTTCCTTCTCTATCTCCTCCTCACTCTTGCTTTTTGAATTTCCCTCTTTCGGCCCTTCCAGTGTCTTGCCACTCCTCAGGGTCATGGCACTTACATTCCTGGGGTTTATTTCGGGTTGTGAAGGTAACTTTCCATAAGCATGAGACTCCAAGCGATTTATGGCAGTTGCCATCTGGCTTATTCGAGCCTCCATATCCTTCATGCCTGATTTTGTATCCTGCTGGAACTGATTGGTGCTCATGGTTAAAGCTCTAGTTTCTTGCTGGAGTTGAGCCATATTTGTGGTCAATGACCTGGTCTCCTGCTGGAACTGTCTAGTCTCTTGCTGGATCTGGGCGGTAGTCGTAGCCAGACTCTTGACAATATCCTCCAAGGAGCTCCCTGTGTTGGAGGATGATGGTTGTGATTTCGGTTGCCATGGTTGCTGAAATCCTGGTGGACGATTCGGATATGAATTTTGTTGCCTGTTCCCATAGCTGAAATTGGGATGATCTCTCCAACCCGGATTGTACGTGTTGGAATATGGATCATACTGCCTACGAGGCGCGGGCACGCCTCCAGCCATGTTCACCTGCTCCGCCCCGTTCTCTTGCAAAATGGGGCACGAGTCTGTGCAATGGTCCATGCTAGTGCAGATTCCACACACCTTTACTCGCGGTGTTTCTCTCATGGCTAATTGCCTAACAACAGACGTCAATTCTGACATTTGCTGCTGTAGGGATGAAATCTCTACCTCGTTGACTTTACGGGGAGGGTTGCTCTCACGGAAGCCAAATTGCTGGGAGTTCTCTGCCATGGCTTCGATGAGCTCCCACGCTTCCCTCGGTGTCTTGTTTGCAAGTGCTCCCCCACTGGCAGCGTCAATGATACTCCTGTCTGTTGATTGGAGCCCCTCATAGAAGTATTGGATTAACAGTTGCTCACTAATTTGGTGCTGCGGGTATCTAGTGCACAACTTGTTAAACCTTTCCCAGTATTCATACAAGGACTCACCGGGATATTGCTTAATGCCACATATCTCCTTCCTCAAACTCGCAGCTCGGGATGCAGGGAAGAATTTTTCCAAGAATTTCTTTTTTAACTGTGCCCATGTGGTAATACTACCCGCTGGTAGGTAGTATAGCCAATCTTTTGCTGCATCCTTGAGAGAGAAGGGAAAATCTCTAAGTCTTATCTGCTCCTCAGTGACCCCAGGAGGTTTCATGCTGGAGCAAACTACCTCGAATTCCTTGACATGTTTGTGGGGTTCTTCGCCAGAGAGACCATGGAAAGAAGGTAGAAGGTGAATCAACCCCGACTTCAGTTCGAAAGCAGTGTTCTCAGCCAAAGTGGGGAATGTGATGCATAAGGGCTGGTGAGTCAGCTCCGGGGCAGCCAGCTCCCTCAAGGTTTGGTTGTTGGTCATGCGTACTTCGTCTTCCGCTGACTCGTTTGCAGCAAATAAGTGCCCTTGTTTTCGTCTCTTGGTCTCTTGCCTCCGCTTACGCGCTGCCTTCTCAACCTCCGCGTCGTATACTAATTCACCTGTGCGAGAAGAACGGGGCATAAACTAGCAAAAATACCAAGAAGAACAAAATAAAATAAAAATAAAAATAAAAATTGAAATTGAAAAGAAACGAATAATCCAAACGCCAACTCCCCGGCAACGGCGCCAAAAATTGATAGGTGCCGAACCTGTGCAATAATAATTACTAAAAAGTCCTAATTACCACCTCAATTAAATAATTATAGAACAAATCCAAGTACTGGAGCAGGGACCCTAGGTGTGCAATGGGTTATTTGATTCACCCTGTTCCCGAAGAGTTTGCTTGATCCGATATACCGGGTTTGTCTATAAAAATACTAATTTTGCGTACAATGGCAAGTAGGGTCGATTCCACAGGGAGCAGGTAGGAAATTATTTCTTTCCAAATCAGCAGAACAAAATTGGGGGATTTTCAATGGGAGAGAAATAAATAAAATAAAAGTAAAATAAAAACAAAGCGAACTAAATTCAAAACCAACTCACAAAGCACAAGTCACTAAAAATAGCAATTAATAAGATTCCACCCAAAGGATCAACTGCTCAGGCACGGTCCAATTAAATGATCATCGATGCAAAGATATTTCCTCCATTTATCACTAGGTTGGTTATAGCTATCAATAAGCTCTGACAACCAGTTCTTCCTTACCTTTTCGACAGTCAAGGTACGACCATTGACTGCTTCCCTAATCAGATAACAACCCTAGGTACGACCGTAGGAATTTAATTACCCAATTGCATTAAAGCTAGAAGAACCCAACCCTAACCAATAAACACACTAAGAGGGTTTATTTAAATTAGATCTTGCGTTTCCCCATCATAAAGCCAATTATGGTGGTCACCACGGGGTGTCAATTAAATGAACAATTACGGATTCTATTTAATTAACGTGGCAGTAGGCTATTAAATTAAATCAAATACCCGGCCGTTGATATTCAATTAATAAAATACCCATGAACAATTAATTCAGGAAACGCACGAATAATAACGAATTGGAAGAAATAATGAAAGCTTGATTAGATCTCACAGGTTTTATGGACCGCGCCCTCGCGTCACCCTTTGGGTAGAGGAGGAAATTAGCCGCTCCTCATCGTTTCAATCCCGCGTGGTTTAGTTGAATACATTAAATTGATTTCCGAAGAATTGGAGAATCACAAGAGAAAACCCACGGAATTTAGAAAAGTCAAAGGCAAAAAGTGAAGAAAGGTCTCCGTTGTACAGAGCCCAGATGCAATCCGCAGAAATCTTTAATATCTGGCCACTAGCCGCTAGCCGCAGGCGAAACCACAGTAAAGAAAAAGAGAACAGGAGAAAAGTTTTTGACCCAGAGCCGCAGAAAGCAAAAGAAAACTCTAGCTACCTAATTTCTGTCGTCTCTGTTGCCGAATAAGAAAGAAAAAAAACAAAAGCCAAGCCAAAGTGGCGGCTGACAAGGGGTAAATTCGAAAAAGAGCTGAAAGCTACAGTCTTTATTGGCCCTCGTGGGCCCTTCCTAGTCTTTTCCATTTGAAGCAGCCGCAGGAGATATCTTCCCCATGGTTAGGAGGCCCACAATTCTTTAAAGGTTCTAATCCAGCGCTTCAGGTTCACGTGGACCACGGTCCGTCTTTCGGTTTCGTCCACCTTCCAAGGCGTGGCCACGCTCTGAAATGAAAAGTCTTCTGAAAATTTTTCCCCGCGATATCATTTTAATGCTAACCACCTACAATTCGCACAAATGTCAAATATGAGTGAAATCCCCTTTCTTAACACCATGAATGGCCAAAATTAGGACAAGATGACAATGCAAAACGTGCCAAATAACGGCTCTATCATTTGATGATTTCAGGTAAAGGATAACATTCCAGATGATGACCAAATCTACAATCCAAACACTGGAACAAATGCTTCTTGCATGGCGCAACTGTTGCACCTTAAATTACCGAGGTTGGTCTCCAAGAAAGCAAGAGGATGCTGCTGAATTTTAGAGCTATCATATGTGGCTTTGTAGAAGCACATTGAGGATCTAAGTAGAAATCACGTTTGGAGCGTACGTAAGTGAAAATGCAATTCGTCTTTTTGCATCCACGTTATCGACGTGTTTAATACTTTAATATGACGGAGTGGGTCACAAGGGTGTGCGATCTCAGGAAGCAATTCTATGCAGGATTTACCCAGTAAAATACCAGATTCTGTGCAAACGAAAATGGTATGTTTGATGGGTGAGTAGCACCCTGAGCAATTGCTATTGATTTGCTTTGTGACACTGCATTGGGTCAGCGGGTGGGACAGGCAGAGGGGTTGCTCGTGGGGCTCTCGATGAGATTTGGAATCTGAGAAGATGGGCATCAAGAAGGCACATTGTAGGTCTAGAACAAAGTTGCACTGCTGAGATATGTAGAATGCTTCACGGAAATTTGGCCCAGAGAAAGCACTGCATGATGGCGTTTTTACTGGGAATTTGGAGCTGGGGAAAAGGGCTAGAAGGTGTTCAAAGTGAAACTCATATCTGAATTCTAATGGCAGAGAGCACACTCTTCATGCAATATGTTTCTGCAGTGAATGAAGACAGACAGTCCCATAGATGTGACTATGGCAAAAAGAGCAGCGAAAATCGACCACAAATGGTGCTTCAAATATGAATAGGGGATGCCGGTGGTTGTTTTCAGGGGCGTGAACTTCCAATTTCTTGGTAGGCTTCAAGTTAATGCAAAGAAGGTCTATGCTGAACTTACAGATTGCACAATGGTACACAAAATTTGAACCATTGGATCCACATAAATGGCACTGGAACTTCTGAGGAGCACCGGATTCCACTTCGTAAAGCGAAAGAGGATCCTCAGAGTGACAGGAATGGTTCCACTCTTGAGGCAATTGAAATTGAGCACAAATTTCATGAAGGAAAAACCGTATATGGCATCTCTTTCATCTTCTTTTTGGTAAAGAGAGACTGCCTCTACTTCGAAAGGCTTTCTGTGGCAGAAATGACACGAGCAAGAATTCCATGGTCCTATACTTGAATCTTTATACATCTCCATTCGATAATGGTGCTTGAGATGGGCTACAAATTCCATTACTTCTCCTCGGATGATTTTAGTCTCTGGTCCTATACTTGAATTCCATGGTCCTATACTTGAATCTTTATACATCTCCAATCGATAATGATGCTTGAGATGGGCTACAAATTCCATTACTTCTCCTCGGATGATTTTAGTCTCTGGGGAAAAAAAAGAAGAAAAGTCAGTATACTGAGCTGGGTGCTTATGAATTATGATACCAGTTATGGGCTATGCAGCCTTTTCAAGTCTTCAAGTACTGTTTGGATTATGCATTTGGTCCAATGGCGTCAAGAAACAATTTCTGTCGAGTGGCTCAATTTGAACGCAAGTTACAGTTACATACGCGTAATGGCTAACTTTCTTGGTTCTGTCCCTTTCCCATGAGGTTCATTAGACAGGCTTTGATCAACTACATTGTGACTCACAATTTGTGAGGGTTTTCGGTTGTTTCCTTCTTTGGCTGCCGGTGACATTTCCCCCGAAAACAGCCTGGATTAGCTGCCACCCAGTTGCTCGTACTGATGGTTTACTAATAAGTTCAACTGTATATAGTGTCAATCAACTGGTAGTAGAAAACTGCAAACTTGAACAAGCAATACCATTATAACTTAATAAGAGAAATTTTTTACCATTGTGGATGGAATGAACCGCTTTCCGAGTTCCTTCAGTTCTTCTATCTTGCTATGTAGAGCAGCCATCTCTTCTTCTATCTCGCAACAACTCCTCTTGTTCATAATTCATTACAGTTATAACATTTTTCTTGATCACTTCCTCTTAAGCAGCAACTTTTTCACTGGTTTCGTTAGTTGGAAAATCAGCAGAGGGAGTTTGTCCACTATCGTCTGGACAGGTAACATCACCCATAAAATTGTTTACTGGTCTGCCCAATCCTGTCTTGCCATCTTCATTTGCTGCACCAGAAGAATCTCTCCAAGCCATGCAAGATATGAGAATGAAAAAACTGCAAAATGAAACTTGTGTCCTATAGAAACAAGGAGATCCAAGGGATAGAGAGGCGAACAATGGAGGCTGCATAGCTAATATTCAAGTCCAACAGCCAACATCCGTAGACCCTGAGGTGGGCACGAACTTGGTTAGGCACTTGGTTGATGAGAAAATCTGTTAAACAATCATTTGCAAGTCTTGCACAGCTCCAAGCTATATATTGCATGGTTCCCTTTGTCATTCCCTCTGTTTAATGTGCAATACGTCCAATAGCTGAACTAAGTGCAACTTCTTCCCAACTTAAAATTGAAACAACAATTAGTTTGAACAAAAAGTAATGGTTTTTTTTTTCTAACAATATGACCAAACAAAGATGAGTTACTTTAAGCACTAAGACGGAAGTGACTACAGTTCCTCGCCACTTGCTATTTTACACTCAAACAAATTGACTCAGATGATATAGTAACTAGTACAGTTAGATTTTATACAATTACCACAAACAACAAGGCCAAGATGAAACCAATAAATGGGAAGGTGAAGAAAAATACAAGTCAAAGAGCCTCCTTTGTTAGCCTCACTGGCTTTTCCTTCAAAAATGCTACATCACTGTTTGTAACCGTCAGTAGATGATGATCTAGCTCCTCTTCTTCAACATCTGCTGAAACTGATGATCCTACAGAATCTGTCCCATCATCTGCAGAGAATAAAAGAGATAAAAAGTACTGATAATTGCATAAGAAAAATGATTGGAGTGTGGAAAGCATATTAGAATCATTTTTAATGTTTTCCCCATATGTTTACTTAATAAAGGACATCATTTCTTCTATTTTGATGCCTTAGGTTAAACTTAATCATAGATGTTGCTATGTTCATATAATAGATGCACAAGGCAGTTGTTTGGCTCAAGAATTGAGGTTTGAACAGATTTGGATTCATATTTGCTCATTATTTTCTTAAGACAAGCTTCATCCAATCTTTAGGCTTGTTAAGTAATAAAGCTGAAAATGAAGCCGCCAAAAGCTTGGGCCACAAATTCATGAGCTTACTCGTATCAAAAGAAGCCCTCATCATTTTCAAATTAAGACTCCTATATAGCATCAATTATTGTGCGAGACTCAATGTTGGACATACAAACCAATTGCGTCTATAGGAAGAATCATGAAATAGTTGGAAAAAAAGGGAAAATAAACACTATGGACAGTTTCCATGCAAGAATATTAAAGTTCAATAATTTAAACTTCTGCACTGCTGACTGCTACAGGTGGGTATTCACTATGACCAACTGACAAACTCTTGAAAGCAACTTCTTTCTAAACTTGATCCGATGGAGAAGACATGTTAGACCACACTATAAAAAAGGTCAAATTATTAATTTGAAATTTGAAGTAAAAACACTCCTTTAAAGTGTGCAGGTTCTTTTAGGACTTCATCATTTGAATCAAGATAATATAGGGGATCATTTCATCCTTCTTTCACCAGAAACAGAAAACCAAACACCAATAGAACTTGCCTGAATATGCTTGATGATCAGGGAGTCTTACTGCTTGAATCTGAATGCTCTCTGGCAGCAGACAATTGAAGAAAGAACCTGAAATTTTAAGGAAGAATACTTGTTAGGCTCGGAGAACAATCTAAAATGTAGACCACCAAAAATCAGTCATCTTGCTAAAGCCTGAAAGCATCAGTATGTAGAACTGGATTCTATTCAAATACCACTGGTATAGAAGAACCCCAACATTCAAAGAAAAGCATTGAAAAATATCACCACCAATATTGGTGCTGAAGCCCAGTGGCAAGAGATCTCATTCTACTTTTCTAGATGTAATAATGTAGTGTTCATTCTCTGTAGGGTGCAGACATATCCAAAGAGATTTAATCCATTGTTTGTCTTTCTGTTACCATAATCCCATGTACAACATGAGAAAAACCATTGGCTAAAAAGCAAACTAGAGAATCCTGACTCCAGAATCTCTCCTTTCTGTGATGACTCGTTCACAGAAAAAACAACAGGAAGAAAATAAACAGCTTATTCTACTATATTTCACACGAAAGGTACACCTGAGTAATGAGAACAAGATCAAATGTTGAACTAAATAATTTATACCAAGTAATTGTATCTAGCTGACGTACATATGAAGTGTGCTTCCTAAACAAAAGTCAGATTGTGAAACCATTTTTTTCCCCAAAAAAAGGATGATTGAGGTATCTCAGTTAATTGACTAATAAATAAAATCACAGATATTATAACAAAATTAACAGCTCCAGATTGTCTAGGCCGTTTGTTTGGATTGAGCATTATTTCTCCAATTTTATTTGCTTACATCATCATTACAATTTCCAATACACCTTTTTATCTTCCCGATTACCTTTTTATCTCACATACATCACATCACAAAAAGTTCTCCCTGACTACCTTAAACTTCATCTCTAATCACATCCTTAAAACTACAAATAAACTCCTTGTGTCCTTACCTAAATGTGCTAGTCGGTTCACCCATCCAGGAATTCGCTTTCCTGTGAGACACACGCTAACATCATCGGTGAAATGATTGCAATTCTTGGCAATCAGATGATAGTTGTCTCCATGATATTTGCTAGAAAGATGCTCCATGAATGACTGAATTTCTGAACGAGTCATGTCGGTGCTACCCAAAAGGACTGACCGCCTAAAAACAAAACCAGGGCAATTTTTGGGTTCAACTTCAAACACCCCACTTGTTGGATACTCATGTGCTCCATACCCATACTCTAAACCATGTACTGCAGTCAAACAGAAGCAAAGATTACGGCTAAAGTTATAATTTTACAAACCAAAACGACATAGAACATAACCATGTTATGCTAACACATACAGCCAGAACCATTGAACTAATGGACTAAGTCAAAATAAAGGCTCAACATGTCTAATAGCAAGTGATAACAATTAACAGCACAGATCTTGTCAGAATCACATCTATGAGACTTCTTTCAACACATCTATTATTGGATTACATGCAGCCCTTTAGAACCAATGTACTCAGTCATGATTGAAATGCAAAACAGATCCAAGAAATTAGTGAAGTCGTAGATCATCACTCCCAATGTTGTCCAAAGTTGCAACAACTATCACCAAAGAGCCATAATTGCACTCCATGTTTTAAGTTACCATCTATATGTCAATATGCCTCGTATGACTCAAAACTATAACTTCCAGGAACTACTGAGGATCTGAGTAACAAGTAACTAAGCATTTATGTCAAAGTTTAATGTTCTTTAAACGTTGCCAAGATTAAGGCTAGTATAAATATATGAATCATCATACTGAACTGCATCACCAATATATAACGACAGTAAACAAAGATGAACATCTGAAGATTGATTGAAACATGAGAACCAAGATTAGCATTTTGGCATCGAAAACTTATTCTTACTCAAGATATTACATCATCATTTAGCAGTGAAAGATTTTATAAGATCAATGTATATTTCCAACAACAGATACATAAAGAGCAAAATGGAATAGAAGGTATTGCCGCCTCTTTTTTCACGATACAAAACAGTCAACTCATAGTGAATTAAATTCACAGGTAAGGAAGATTTTTTTAAGCTCCCCACAGAGTGGAGGTTCCTAAGGTGAATTAAGCTTTTCGCTGCATTCAGATGCTAAAGTGATGCAAATAAGGCTGCATGTCTGAGAGAAAATATGTGTGAATTAGTACTGTTGTTCATACATCTTACGTAAATCTATTAAGTGACGACTTGAAAGAGAGATTCTTTCTTCTTGTCGGGGAAAATGATTTTTGTTCATTATTGACTGGAAACAGTGTAAGATTCTAGGCACAAGCTTAAATAAATTGTGTTGTTACAACTGACTATGGTGGGAACAAGCATAAATGATTATGTGAATAAAACAAACTTAATGGTTTTCAGTATCACTGGAGCTCCTCTGTGGAGAAAATTAATATATCCTGTTTACCTAGTTCCACACTCAAAATACCTAAACTGGGTAAAATCTGAGATTATTAGCCCAAAAAGAAATAAATATATCACATAAAATACGTTCCTAGCTGACACTTAATTAAGTTTCCAAGTCAATATAGTTACTCCAGCTAAGAGAGATTTCTTAGCATGACAGAACAGAGAACGGTAGCAGCACACAGGGCAATAAACTACAAGAGATTAGAGATTGGCCAGCAATTGGGCAACCAAAAAGTTTTCAGCTTTATGTAAAGCTAGAAAAGAAAGACTGGCACAAACCCATGGCCTATGGACATGACTTGCAAACGATCCATGAGCTGCTTCATAGCTCAAATCCCGTAGCTTTGCTAGTATTTGACAAGTTGGTATAAAGAGTCCCCAATGAATAACCTTGAATACAAGTTATTTCCAACAACTTGTTAGACAAAAGAAGCATTCCCCAAAACGAGTTCTGATGTAAATATCAGCTGGCAGCCCATGCTTGAAAGAGTCATTTGCAATTATGGACATGGGAGCTGAGTCAGGCTGATGTAAATATCACCTCAATCTGGGTTTGCAAAATTGTTATAACAGTTGCCATGTTGGTAATCATGCCAGACAGGGCAGGAAGCTTCAACCATGTATGGTATATTATTATGGCCTTAAAATGTTTATCCACAACTATTTTAATATACTGCAATGCCTCAAAACTTGTGAGAAGCAATGCAGAGGACCAAACGGTGCACATCTATATAAACAACAACAAAAACAACATTACACTCAACAAAAACAGTCACTCCCTCAAAACTCCTAAAAACAACTAGAGGACAATCAGGTAACATCATGCTAGACAAACAACTGAAATTTAAGAAACAACTTTCTAAAAGGAATAAAGATTCAAACTTTATCACAAACAATCTCCAAACACATTACGATTCATTAGATAAAAGCATAAAAAAGTATAGTAAACTAGTAAACCATTACAAAAGGAAAGAAAGATTGGAGCTTTTTTTAATACCTTCAATGCCGGAATGAAAAATCCCAAGCCCGAACCAGTAGAGATAGTCGTTTATATTTGTGAGGTCATATACATTTAAATACAAAGAGACCCGATTTCTCTCTCCATTACTATTCCGATCCTTTGATGAACTCGAACTCGAGCTCAATGGAAACAACCGCATTTTTTTTTACCAACAACCCTCGTTCTCCAACTATGACTCTACAAGGCAAACCTCAGCTTCCACCGGACAACGAAAACAACGACAACCCTTTAATACTGATCCAAAAAAGAACCGAATAACATCAAAAAACCAGTCAGTCGGATTACGGCATAAACATTTAACTTCAATATCATACAGGGCAAAATTCAAGATTTTAGCCAGAACCCTCAAAAACAAGGCTGAATACAGTCATAAAAGAGATTAATTTGGGTTCAGAAATAAGTAGCAGGGGATCTATAAGGTGGGATGCTTTAACTACACTACATCAAACACAAATAGTAAATAACAATTCAGTACTTCGTAAGTAACCTTGCAAACAGGTAATTATGTAAAAGAAAGAAAACTTACTCTGTGACTATGTGTAAAGTTGGAAGTTTTGCTGTCAGTGATTCAGGAAGGAGACAGTTGGGGCGGTGTGTTTCTTCGGATCAGAGAGAGAGAAGAGGAGGAGTGGCATAGAGGGATGAATTAATTAATTGGTGGGAATTTCTGACAGTGGAAGATGTTTTATTACATCTGTCCGATTTTCAAGACAAAGTAAGAAGATGTCTTTTTTGGACTGATTTTTCTATTACCCCGACCCAAACGTCTTGAATGAATCTTGATACCGATTGAGGAAGGTGGAGCACTAATTGTTTCTTACTTTGGTTAATCATAGTTTAAGACACATGAATTTTTTCAGACCTATTAGGAGAACTCGCAATTCCTAAACTAAGGTTCGTAATTTGTAGACTATCTTCTTAATTTTTGGTTATCGAATTACTTGTATTTGTATTACTATTACTCAAGAAGACTCTAAATCTAGGATTTTCAAAATTACTTGATAAATTAATGTCCCTAATATTTTAGATTTGTAGATAAAACAATTGGATAAGTTAAAATCTTAATTGAACAGAGTGTATTGGTTTTGCTGCAGGTGCAGGAAGACAGTCCAAGGTGAAGGTTTGTGGAAAATGATTAAGAGCCAGGTGCTGCCAAAAACGTAATTGTCCATTGGTTTCTTATCCTCTCTGTATCGAACTAGGAGGCTGGAAAACCCTTGCTACGCACTGTTTTGTACATGTTATAGTGCTCATGATTATGTGTGATTGTGTTAATATTTATTTATTAAATAGCAAGTGAATATTTTCAAGAATAGGTCAATATTTTTATAAAATGTACTGATATTTAATAGAATTGTGCTTAAATAACATGGAAAATTATACTAATTTATTTGCCGTAATAGTGAATGTACTATATTTGTTAATAAGATTTGACCAATTATATCTAAGTAATTGGGATATCAAAGTCCAAGACAATTATTTAGCATGTGGATGGAAAAAAAATGATTAAAAAATGACAAATTTTTATGTAATTAAAGTAGGGTATACTGTTGTATTTGCTCACTATATATTCAACAAATATAGGATCTTAGCAATGAATCAGTGAATTTTCTTGAAACAACTCCATTTGTCATTCTTTTGAAGGAAAAATAAGAAGTACTTGTCTTGCCGGAAGAAACATGTCTACAGTGATCCGATAGGATGTTGCCCATTGCACCTGACCAGGAAAACCAACAAGCCGATTTTTGGATCAATTTGTTCCGCTGTACAAGAATAATTTGCTTCTCCATAATTTTCTTTCAAGCTGTAGCACTCATGTGAGTTTGTTACTTCATTTGTATTTTGTTAGTTGTGGATTGTAATTATTTTCCTCCGATACTTCCTGATTGGAAATTTGCATTTGCTTCCTCAACACAAGGAAGTGCAGATGCATGAGAAACGAGAACACTTTGTGTTTCAAGCAGGATGAGCAATGGATGATTCGAAGATTAAGGGATTGAACCATCGTTTTGGTACACAAATTTGTTCATACAATTACAGGTGATGAATGCCGTTTTCTTTCGCTACAAACAGCAAGTTCTGATAGATGGTTATATAGAAAATGTGTGTCAAACTTTCCTTGTATTAGATATATAGTAAAAATCATTTACACAATCAAACATTATGTCACTGCATTTTACACTTCAAGATATATACATCAGTGCAGGGTTATTTGCTGCCAATTTATGCATCCGTTGTAGTGCTTAATTCATCAATGATCATGCCAACTGCCAAGATATATGTAATGGCTGCTTTATCTCCATCAGATGCAAAAAATCAGAAAAGAGATGCAGCAATGAAGCATTCCTTGAAAGTATATCTGCTGTCAAAGTAGTATGTGCTGTTTGAATCCTGCCTGTGCAATTTTAACTGGCTTGACAGGTAGAATTTGCGTCTTCAACAATGTTGAAGTACAAAGAGGAAAGCCTGCCATCAAATTTAGAGGCCAATTGATGGACTGCTAATCCACAATAACGCTTTCCCATCCTCGCAATGCAAATGTCGGTGATTTTCTTAAACATAGTGTCTTCTTGGATCAAAGGCTGCTTTACAAACTCAACCAAAGGCATCCACTGCGTAGCAAAGCAAGAAAACTTAAAAATAAGTATCTGACCAATATATACCACTTGTAGTTACCAAACTTCATTAAAACTGCCCCGCCGGGAAGGCGGGGGGTGTTGGGGGTTTCATTCCTGAAGCCTCTGATGTTGAGAGGAAGTATTCGAAACAAATTATTCAATCACAGACAAGGAAGTATTCGAAACAAATTACTCAATATATCCCAAAAGTTCAGTTCAAGACCATATACTCCTGTCAAAAAACTGACTAAAAGATCTAATTGATTTTCTTCTACGAACTTACATGTTACAACCACAACAGATAATCAAATTTACAGAGATTATGGCGTCTGTTTACCTTGGCTGCTTGAATTTCTTGATCATCAACCATAATCTGTGTAGAAAGAGATCGTAACATGCAGATGAAGAACAAATCTGACTTCTCAAAAGCCACATTGTGAGCATGCCTGAAAGAAAGGAGTGTACAGATAGCTTATGATAAGGAATGGATGTCTCCAGATCCTGTACATTACAGATACCATTAGCAGTTATATGCTGATGGAATGAGTTTGCTGCTGATAGTTGAGGCATAGTGACGTAAATCATATTCAAGATAAGGATTTGGGAGGAAATCATTGGATGGCATCATTTAATTTTATTTGCTTATGCGGATTCTTCCAAAATAGTATGAAAGAATAACGAAAAAGCATGCTAATATAATCTGCAACAGGGTACTCTTTCATTTGAGAGAGATGCATGCAAGAAAAGCATGGATAGTGTCATTACCTGAAAGCTATGACTTCCACAAATTCACTGTCAACCTGGAAATGTGAAAGAATATCCGTATGAGTTAGTTGATTCACACTTTAATTTTTTTTTATAACAAGTAAAAGGCAACAATCCTTTAGGTTTAGGAGTCCATGGAAATGATGTCTTACTCCAGTTTCCTCTTTAACTTCTCTCACAGCACCCGTAAAAATCTCCTCAGACTGTAATACATGACAAAAAGTTATTTATCTAACGGATGCCATCCTGTTATTGTGTCTACTATTCATTTTCATTTCCCAAAGGCATTTAAGCATTGAAATCCAAATTCATTACTGCCAAAGATACCTCAAGAATGAAACCAGTGGGTATTTTCCAGAGGCCAGCTAGCCCTGTGGGACTGTATTTTTCCTGTACTACTAGCACCTGCATTAATCATGGGATAGTACTTCATAAATGATTGTATTGCAATGGCTAGAATTGGCATAACATTGCTGAGAAACATTCCTCAAGACTTCCGAGGATGCAGAATGAAGATTAGAACCGACAGTTTCTGAGGCAAATGGTGAAAGTATGTTGAAAACAACATGCTATTCAAGCACATTTTAAAATGATGATCACAACAAAAACTAAGCAAGCACCTCACTCTCCCTAAAGCTTTTTAAGGTACTGGTTTCAATCAAGTAATAAGGCCAATTTGATTTGGATTTGCTTTATTCTTTAAGCATAAGCAAATATACCTCGTTTTTTTCGTTTATCACAAAACTCCCAACTCCAACTTGATGGGAGGCATTAGATGGGAGCAAGCAAGGTTCTTCAGGAATCCAATATGTCATCATGACATATTCGCTTTCTGCATGGTGGTACTGAAACCCTTCCTGTTTTGATGGATACGCAAATCAGGGATTGCATTCAATTGGAAAGAGGCCATATACTTGCCAAAAAACATTCTGTCATTTTTCAATTAGAACACTGTTCTTAGATCAAATAATGGAACTTTAGGGTGGAACTGTACCTTTACTGCTATAGGAACAAATTCAGATTTTGTTATTGGCAGCTTGAGCCACACACCCTTCTTGCCCTGCAGTTTGTTGGCCTAAAAGTGTGAGTTCATAACAAGGCTGAATTTCGAAGCCATGCTCTGATCTACTTGTATTGCAGAGGAGGATTAAATGATGGATAAAGTTGCGATGATACAAGTGGAACGACAAGTCATAAACAAACGGAAACTAGATAAGTTTAGCCACATGAAAGTTGTAATGAGAGAGTTGAACATGTAAGATTCATATCAAGAGCTCCATATCACATCATTAAAGCTTTTATCACTACAAAGTGATGCTCCAAGGAGACTAATCACAGTACAGCATTACAAAAGTGAATTACCTTAGCTTTCCAATGAGAAAGTGATGAACGAAGTATGGAGGCAAAAGAAGTTGGATTAGATGGTAGACCTTCTGAATGAACGATTACTCCATTATACTCATCATCGTATGCATCAAGCACCCTGGCATCCTTGGAATACATACTCGAACTGTTTGTTCCATTGACTCGATAAGGAAAAGACTCGAATAAAATTTCTTCTCCAACTGATCTGATGGTATTATGTGAAATACTTGAATAAGAAGCCTTGGGATATGTAACTGAGCACAGAAGACAGGAAACAGGAAGGTGAAGGAGGGAGCAGATATTGTATATGAAGGTTTAGGATCTATCATCCAACCTCCCACATGAATACTGTTGTATAGATTCCACTCTATCCCTAGACAGTGACATCAATTTATCTTGCAAGAGCAGTAGAGGGTTTATGACTTCTGTACGTACAACAAAAATAGCATTTATTCAAAGTACTAGTTCAGGAGCTTTTGCAACCTGATAAACATTCCTGACATTGTTTGGTTATTCCAACAATCAGTAAATTACCATTTGACAATCACAACGGGGTTTCGTGGAAGGAAAAAGCCTTAAATTAATTGATGAAAGGAAAAAAGCAGAGAAAACAAATTGCAGAATGTTCTCACTTATCATGCAAGAAGAGAGGTGTAACATGAGTAAATGATGAGAAAAATCATAAACAATAATGGAGAACAAGATGATTATAACCAAACATTTTGTGCTTTATCAACTGGAAGGAAGTATTCAAGGTCAGATTGGAAGGAAGATGGGTTCAGCCATTACAATTCACGGACAGTAAAGGTCAGATGATTACTTTCCATGGCTCCCTACTTCCTGAGGCCAGCCAAAGAAGGAAAGTCAGGGGTCCATGTCGGAGGTAAAGAGTTTACCTCTGCAAGAAAACGATTGCATAATAACCTCCCTGCAACCAGCCATGCGCCCTGGGTTTATAAAGGAGGTTGAAAACATCATCTCTGTTCCCACCATCTTGGACATGGACACTGACTTAACAGCAGGCGGTTTAAACTGCATTTACAGGTTTCGATCTCAACTGATCCACCCTTGAACACACCTGAAGTCAGAGCCAATATATGAAATCTTATCGGATACTT